AACAAATGATTGACTGATTCATCATGCTCCTAACAAAGAATACATATGGTTATGTCCAGCAGCATACCTTTCCTCACCAAATTATCCCTGCTTAAAAACCTGTTCAGATAGGCAATCCACACAAAAAAATCCTACCTTTGTGGGCACACTCTTACATCACACAATGTTAACTAGGACGGGCTCATCCTCTGACCTAGAGATGAAGTTGTAAAAAGATTTAACAAAGAAACTTTGGATTCCTCCCACTACCAAGTTCGTCTATTCTCTCTCCCTGTATCCACTTGAGTACTATATAGTTTAGGGTTTCTAGCCGTTAAGGGCAACTTTTTGCCCTTAATATCAATAAAAATAATATTTTTTATATAATAACCGAAATGAGATATCTTTTTTTGAAAAATATCAAATAAGGGCATTCGTCTTCCTCCTCTGGCTTCTCTATTAACGTTTTCCATCGATAACAGTCGAGTGACAACCTCTCAGCCAAACCATGACCTTCAATCCATCGGCCATGTGTGCCATCAAGAGCGAAACAAAAACAGGCTCGAACTCAAACTGCTTCAGCAGCGAATCCATCACGTACTTCATCTAAACAAAAGCCATCTCTTTCCTCAGCACACCCTGCGTCCGGCTTGAAACACCGGGAACTTGAAGTGCCGCTCGGACCCAAGACACAACGCTCGTTTAATCGGACGACCAACTTCTCTGTCTATCTTCTCTCTCCAAAAGCGGAAAGTGAAAGCGTGATGTGTTGACGATGCTGACGTTGTGACGCAGGCGTCCAAACTTTGTGAAGTCTTCTTGCCATTCTTGTTCAACTCTGATTGGCTATTTTTAAACCATTTGATTTCTCCTTCGATTTGAACACTTATAGACAGATATATAAATCCTCAAATAACAATCACAATGCTAAGGGTGGAATAACTGACTTTTACCCTTGGATGCAGAAATTGACAGTAACACCACACAGCCCACGCTAGTCTCTGTTATGTTTACTATATATGAAGGAGGGTTGGTTGCAATGATGATGATTGATGAGTAAACGAGAAATAGTCCCAGCAAACGCTAGTTTCAGCTATGTTCACTCGACTTAGAGTTATCAACGGCAAACGTTAATAGAGAAGCCACCGAATGAGGAAGATGAATGCCCTTATTTGATATTTAAAAAAAAAATAAAGATATCTCATTTCAATTATTATATAAAAAATATTATTTTTATTAATATCAAGGGCAAAAAGTTGCCCTTAACCGCTAGAAACCCTATCGTTTATGCAACAATTCCACCAATGACCCCACTTCCCAATAATTCAAATTTTGTCTAAAATGAGGCGCCCATACCAAACTTCCATTCTGCACAAGCAAAATTCCTGTAACCTTATTTAGCTACTGCCACCCATGTCCAGAGACCACCTTGATTCTCTCCAAATCACCAAAACCACTTTCCCAACATAGCAATATTGACATCCTTCACCCTCCACACACCCAAACCCACTTGAAGCTTTCTACCAAAAAAACACCCTTGAAGCATAGGTTTACAAGTCTTATTCCAACTGAACAGATTATATTTTTTCTTCACACCCCTCCAACCTCTTCATAAAAACTCTCATCTTCTTCTGTATGGAATTTGCCACTCCAGAAGGAATTGGGTACAATGAGAGTAAATACATAGGAAGGGAAGACGACACACTTTTTAACAAAGTTATTTTACCTTCATAAGACAAATATTTAGCTTTCCAGGAGGCCAATCTCTTGTCTAATCTCTCCACAATAGGTTCCCATATAGATTAAGAATTACACCTAGCTCCCAAAGCCACCCCTATATACTTTAGAGGCAGTTTTCCCGTTCTACACCCCCATTCCTCCACCCACCTTTATTAAAACTGGTTCTGGACAGTTCTAATTGTTCAGATTCTCTGCATCATTTCTTTTGCAACGTCTACATTATTTTCATTTCACATTTTTAAACTTGATAATGATGTCATTAGTTTTGAGGTTCTGATGTTACACACTAGTATTTGCTTCTAAACTCATCGGCCCTATTCAGCATAAAGTATAGTATCCACCTCTTTAAGAGCTTCAAACCTAAGAGTGAATCCAACAGGAAATGAAAAGAACAAAAAACAAAATGAAGCTTAGACGATGAACAGTGAAAATGAAAAACCAAACAAGATGTATGTTGTACTGGTCAGAAGTTTGTCCAGAGGTATGAACACCACTGGACTTTTCAACAAGTTGTACTAGCAAAGGATAGCTGGATTTTTTAAAGTGCTAGCAATCCAACATATCAACATAAAAATGGCAAACCATATCCAAGTATGCCAGTTCCAGCAAGCCCAAGATACATCAAAGGAAGGGAGCACTACCATATACAAAGATGTGGATGCTGATGGAATGGAAACCTCCAGCTAATATGCTGAAGATGAATTTTTATGGCAGCTCTATGGGTAACCAGGGAAGGGCAGGCATATGGGGAGTCTTTAGAAACCACCAAGGGATGGCTTTGTATTCAGGACCAATTGGCTATGGAACTCAGTTAAGGCTGGATTTCTCCCAACTGGTGCTTTTTGTCTAAATTGAATGGAAAGAATGCTTACCATCCCTGAATCTCCTGCACCTGCATTTGGGAATGGTTTTGCTCTCTTTTTGGTTGCAGGTAGATCCCTCCTGTTAGTTTGGATAGACTCTTTAGCCTGTCTTTCCTGAGGACCATTAAGAGAAGAGGTAGAATATTGTGGAAATGCACAAAGGCAGTGGTAACTTGGACAGTTTGGGAGGATAGGAAAAGAATTTTTGAGGAAAAAGAGATGAATAAAGAGGCAGTTATTGAGGTTGTTATAATAAGGGGAGCAAAATTGGGTGAAAACTTAGTCAAGAATTTTTTTTGTTTAGATTTTACAATGGAAGACTTCAGAAATTGGGAGTCAATAGCAAACTCCTCTAGGAAGCAAAAAATCCTCGAGGTTTGGTCACCTCCAGATGGAGGATGGATGAAACTAAATTTTGAGAGAAGTAATTTGGGGCCTTTGGGCAACTCGAGACCTTCTGGAGTTGGAATGATTCGAGATGAGGATGGGAACATATGTGGACTGTTTTCCAACTGGACAATGTGATTTTAGTAAAGGTAGAATTTATGGCTGCTTTTTTTTGGGGTACTTAAAACTAAGGAGATGGGAATCATAAGGTTGATTGTGGAAAGGGATTCAAAAATAGTAACCGGGTGGTTGAAGAAAGGAGAGGGAGTGATATAGCACTCAGAAATGATCTCAAGTGGTTCAAGATGCTGTCAAGATTTTTGAGCATTCAAGTAAGGTGGGTAAGAAGATCCACTAATGTCTTGGCAGATGAATTAGCTAACATAGAAATCATTTGTATTGGGCTCAATTGTGTATTAGGATGATGGGATTCTTTTGATATAAAGAGAGWTCAGATTTAACAACCTCTTGTTGTAATTCTTTTTCTTTTAATGTATTTAATAAAACTCTGTGTTACTGATCCCCCCCCCAAAAAAAAAATAGTGGCTCTATTACAAGTACAGAGACTAGGACTACAGCTTGGTGTTAGGGACTTGGAAGTTGAAGGAGAATCACAACTAGTCATATCCTGGACCGAGCAAGTAAATTTGGCACCTTGGAACGAAATGGATCTCCTAGCAAAGAAAATTAATCCCAAGTTCATCTGTGTCACGACAGACCTCTTTTATTTTGGGCATGTAGATATAGTTGTTAGTGTGGTCCCACTTTATATTTTCTTTTGTCTTTATGTTATTTCATGGTAGTTATAGTAGTTAGGTCAGTTAAATATGTTTTTTCTTTCTTATGTAGGTGGCAGGGGTATTATTGGAACATCACTAATGTTTAATTGCAAACATATAAATAGATTGGTGGGGCGGCAAGACGTAACTAGCCGCACCCTTTTTCTTTCTCTCCTCTTCTTCTCCTCTGTTCTCTGTTTATTTTTCTTCTCTTTTCTTACTGAATTCACATCAGAAAACAAGCAGATTATAGTTTCCTTTATTCAAGTTGGTATCAGATCCAACCTAGGGTTGATTAGGGTCCTCATGTGAGCCTGTTCCAGTCGAACGGATGAGAACTTTCTAGTACTGTAAGTTCTGCATCATTGCCTGATTCTTGGAGGTTGCGGGAAACTTTAGTTGCTGCCCAAGGGATTGCATGACCTTTGGAGACTGCCCGGTGACCAGAAAGGATCAGAGAAAATAAGCAAGTTCAAAATTAGGGTTTAAACTGAAGATTGAAGGTGGCAATCAGTTTTCCTTTTTACTGAGACCGACACTGAGTAGAAGCAAAACTGTAATCTGATGTAACAAGGGTTGGTTGGAATATTCCAACAGTTGCACTAAGTTTCTTTATTAATTAATGAAAACCTTTGGCTGATAAAAAAATAAGGTCTGCATGCTGATGGAAAGGAAGTCCCAGAAAAGAGACTTGCTAAAGCAGTGACGGTGGAATGAAGACAAGATTATGCGGTGAACAGAAGATCAACTACCTTGCTTTTGTGTGAGTGGGGTGAGTAATGCTTTGATTTGGAAATATTTTTATTTGGAAGCTTCTATGACAAGGCAGATTCGTTTACTATCTAGGATTTTGCAACTGTTAAGTTTGTTTTTGTTGCACTCTCTTTTGTGGCCTTGTGGGTGGAACCCCCTGTTTAACTGTTTTGGAGGCTGCATTTCCTTGATCCTTGTTCTGTTCCTTAATAAATTAGTTTGTTACTGTTACAAACTGAAGTGCAAGCGCAAAGATTTGTTATTCTGTACCATAAATATAAAATTTGATTTGATATATTTGCATAGCATTATAATACCTATAGATCATAGATCTTACAAGTTCAATCACCAGAAACCATCATAATGTTTGGGGCTGCAAATACATTTAGAAAGTGATAGGCAGGAAGATTCAGAGGCAATTAAGACAAGATCAAAGCAAATCGAATATGGATATATAATTGACACAGGAAACATCAAAACAAAAATGATTTGAAAGTACCGGAAAAGCAAAGTCAAGTAGAGCTGTTTGGTTGCTCCCAAATTTTGTGAACAGAAGGCCACCTGGGTGTGACTGGACAATTAATAAATGTCAGCACAAAGGCATCAATGCTATTGGGACTTGGGAGAGTTTAAGACAGAATACTGAGAAAATATAAGACAAAATACCAAGTTCTTACCTTTTCCTTCCGATTATCCAGCTGGGTATGTGAGCCAATTACAACTATATTTTCTGGCAGATTATGAAGCTTAAACTTTAAATGTATATATGCCTCCATGTTGCCGACTAGAGACTTCTCAATGTCTTTCAGGAACAATATCAATGGACCATTTTTACTTTCAATATAAGCCAACTGTGGCAAAGGGAATCTTCATATTAGACCACTTAAAAATGTAATTGAAGCTATTAATATCCTTCTGACTTATATACATAACTACACATTCACCTCAAACAGTTCATAGATGTCAAGATCATCATCTCCTGAGCTGTCTAAACGAAGTAAATCAGCTGCAAAGTGAAAAACAGATTGCCATCAAAAAGAATAGCATAAACAAAAGTTAAAATATATTGAACCAAAACAAAAAGGAAACAGATAGTATTAGAAGAAAGGGAATCACCATTGCAAAAGAAACCATGATCTTCTTCACAAAGGCCCCCAAGATCGTTACCTTCTGTGATTGATCTATCAAATCTAACTCCGACTTTGGAGGATCCATTCTCTTCAAAAGCAAGAACCACTTTGCCTAGATAACCATGACTTGGTCCCCTGCAAATGCACATAAAATAGCTAAGGATAAATGAATTAAATATTAAAAGGAAAACAAAAAACACATAAGACCGGTAAAATGCCTCAATATAGAATTTTCTATAAGAATACTAAACAAAGAAATTGGGATTAGATGATGTAGGAAGGGGTAGAAATATACTTAGATGGGGCGCAATCAATTGGAAGAAATTTTCAAATAAAACCGTAGGTCGTCACTAAATGTTGAACCTAGCCATCTGGCAAGGTTTAAAATGAAAATTGTATGGAAATATTGTAAAAATTATAGACATGGTGTAAACATTGTAACATATGAAAAAATATAGAATGATGTTTTATAAAATGATAAAAGAAGCATAGGCATACATTGTTAAATTATTATCTTGTTCCAAATCATTAAACAAAGCTACGAAACTAAGGTTGTAGACAAAAGAACGTGTTCTGAAGTTGTCACCAAGTTATGTTATAATTTTTTTGGAAGGTAAAGTAAATTTTATTAATAAGAAATATAGTCATACAAAGAGGGAAGAAAACAGATCCCCCTCACAAAGAGATTAGAGATCTCATATATTGACTGACTTTAGCATCAACAATACATTCCGATCACAAAACTCAGGAAGGACAGACATCCAGGATGCTACCCTAGCCACAATACACTGGATCAACACCTCAGGGCTTTTCTTCTCTCTTCTGAAGATTATGTCATTCCTCTCATACCAAATCGAGCTGATAACTGCCGCAGGGATAGATCTCCAAATGAGCTTGCCTCTTTTTGACAAGCCCGGAAGGTGCCAGCCATTTAAGAGTCCTTTACATTGGTCAGCATAACCCAGCATATACCCACAGCAGAAAAGAAATGGGACCAGATCTTCCAGGAAAGATCGCAATGAATGCATAGGTGCCATGGATTCCTCGACCAGAGCACAGTTTCCACAACTTAGGTCCTCTTAACTAAATCCCCTCTTAGCCAAATTACTTCTTGTCAGGCATTTCCCAAGTGCAGAGGTCCAGACCAGGAAATTAATATTGGAAGGGGAAGAGGGAATCCATACTTGCTTACAAGGTAAGTCTGCAATCCTTCCCCCAATCAGACCATCAGTAAAGGATCTAACCGAGAAAATTCCATCTGCAGCCCAGGTCCAGGTCCATTTGTCTCTTTCTTGGGGTTGAAAGGAGAAACTATTTAGGCTACTTAGCAGGTTCACCACCTCAGCCACTTCCCAGTCTTGAAAATTCCTTCGAAATCTGGGATTCCATATCACTTCACCACGAACAAGCTCGAAATAATCAGAGCCACGGTTGCTTCTTTGTCCTCAGCCACTAAGAACAGAAGGGGAAAAACCTCTTTCAAAGGCACCTCACTCAGCCATTTGTCCTTCCAAAACCGCACTTCTACTCCCATCACCTATCTTGAAACCCACACCCTTTAGGAAAGATGGGAGTGTTTTCATGATAGTTTTCCATAATGAGCACCCATAGGATGGAAGCGTAACAGCAGTCATCCATCTCCCCGACTGGAGCCCATATTTGGAAGCAATAAGCTTCCTCCACCAGCAATTTTCTTCCACTCCAAATCCACTTTCCCAATAAGGCTGTGTTGAATGTTTTAATTCTTCTTAGTCCCAAACCTCCTTGATTCCGTAGAGAGCAAATCTGATCCCAGGCTAACAAGTGGATTTTCTTCTCATCTTCCCAACCTTTCCATAGGAAGTCTCTTTGAAGTTTTTCAATCATCTTTGCTATTGAGCTTGGGATGGGAAAGCGGGAAAGATATGTTATACACTATCTATTGCACTCCTTGTAGTGTTGGTAGTGTTCAATGGGGTATATGTAATGCAGGAGCTGAAGAATCAAATTAGGAATTTTCTGAAATTTTCTGTAGTTTTGTATATTTAGACAGTATGGGTATTTTTGTCATTTTAACTAGTCTCGTGTGGGCCTGGGCTACAATATCTTGTTCCTCTAGTTTAGTAAGGCTTGTCTTTCAATTTTCAGTCTATCTGCATTAGTAGATAAAAAGTTATTGTGTTTCTTGATGCACAAGAAAATGAGTGGCATTTTTGTAATTGTAGCGAACAGTATTCCGGGCCACACAAGTCACTCTGTAAACAGATGTATTCTCTTCCTTTTCAAGCTAATGAATGAATGAATATTTCTTTAGATCTCTCTTGCAAGTTTGCTGTATGGAGTGATTCGTACAAACCCTAGAGTGATTCTAGGACCCTTGGAGTGATTCCTTGGGATTTCTCTCTCTTTTCTCTTCGCCTACCCTACTGCTTCAACACGTCAATTCCAATAAAATTTCAGGTCACTACCCATGGAAGTGAAAATAGAAATATGTTGTGGAAACCATCTCTTGTATTCCATATAGCGCTGGTAGTGCTCATTGGGGAATATGTCGATTTTCGTAAAATTTCATGTCGCTACCCATGGAAATGGAAATATGTTGTGCAAATATTTGGGAATTTAGGGACATCTTAAACCATGATATGGGGTCTTTGTGAGAGATGGACTGGATAAAAACCTAACCCTTGTCATTTTCTGCACAAAATGGCTATTCTCAGGCTCAAACCCATTTTCTCACACTTGCCTACCCAAGATTTCACATTGCACCAATCCAAACGTAAAGTTACACTAAAACCGTGAAGTAGAGGTAGTAGGGGTGCTCATAAAAGACCAAACCAAAAAATCAAGTTAACCAAACCGATCAGTTCTGTTTCAATTTGGTATTTTTGAAAAACCAAAGGACCAGATCAGTTTTCAGTTAACCTAAAAAAACAGTGGTTAACTCTACATATTTATAATATATTCTATATATTTATATAATTATTTATAACATATATTATAAATATAAAAAAAAAATTGAAGAATCGAATTGGTCAAAAATCAAAACCAATTAACTGGTTGATTTGGTTCAATTTCAGTTCAGGGATTTTCAAAAATTGGTAGTAGCTGTTCGGTTTCAAAAAATTGCCCATGGTTCGGTTAACCATGAGCACCCCTACCATGAAGTAGGAAAATAGCTCATCCCCATTGAAATACTTAGCCAGCCAGCCAGAACAAACTTGATAACTACGGCTATAATGTTCTACAAATGCACCTCCAACCCTAAAGATGCACATTTCCCCCAGTGTTTTAAAAGCGCAAGGGCCAATTTGCGCCTGAGGCGCAAGGTGCAAGGCAGCGTGAGACTTTTTAAGAAAGGCGCAGAATTACAAAAAAAAAAAAGCTAAAAAATAAAAAAAAAAATCAGAAAATTCAAAAATATGCCAAAAAAATTTAAAATTTGCAAAAAATCAAAAAATATTAAACATAATGTTAATAAAAAATATAAACTTAAATTTTAAAATAATTGATTTTAAAAACCTATTATCTAATATTAAAATACATAAACATAACATGTAAAGTGTATTCAAATGAAAATTTAAAAATAAAAGCAAACATATAAAGCATTTTCAAGCATGTAAAACCCACAATCTCTTTTTTTTCCTTAACTGCATTGCTTCAAGTAGTTAATGTGATGTAAAACATATTGCATTCTTGATTCTATGAGTCGCCTCTGTACCACGCCCCTCGAGGCAAGCCCGAACAAGTCTATGTTAGGGTCTGAAATTCTTATTTCTCACAAAAAAAATAATGATTTTATAACTTCCATTGCCTTTTAAGAAGATATTTTATTACAATGAATGAATGAACAAGTTTATGTTAGGGTCTGAAATTCTAATTTTTTTATGTGAGAAATAAGAATTTCAGACCCTAACATAGACTTGTTTGGGCTTACCTCGAGGGGCGTGGTCGGGATACGGGGGCAGAGCCCCCAGCCCAGCCGTTAGACTCAAAAAAAAAAAAGCAAAAAGCACAAAATTTTAAAAAGGCGCACGCCTGGGCTAAAGAGCAAGGCGCATCAGGCACACCCSTTTTGAGGACCTGGGCAAGGCGCATACCCAAAAATGTGCCTCACCTGTGCACCCAGGCACGCCTTTTAAAGGGCATCTGTCACAATAAAGCTTAATGATATGCTCACTAGTGTGGGACCACTCCAAACCTACCAGGAAAAAAATATGGCCGTAAAGTACCACACATTCAGATTAGAATCCACGTAAACCTCTGTAAACATATCAAAATCCTGGATCCAAATGACAATGCCAAGCTTAATCACATCCTCATAAGAGAAAACTGGACTACAAGATACTCTAGCATGTCATTCCTCCCATACCCAAAAAGACCATGTTCATAAGACATTTAAATACGAGACATTGCCCATGATGACAAAGCACTCAAATACCCCTCCCAGTATATACAAGTGGATAGAAACACTTTATAATCTGAAGAACAAAAGCTTGTTGTACATGATAACAAACCATAGCTCAACTGAGCTATGAGCAAGTTCTTTAATGATATAAACTAGTTCTTTTTGGTACATGAAATCCTTTTGTAAAGCAGGGTTTGGGGGTAAAGGAGTGCATGGGCAAGTGACTGTAAAGCCCCTGTGTACAGCAGCTTGCTGTACATGCTTTTTTGTTTATTATAAATGATACCATACTTTTACCTTCTCTCAAAGAAATGTCTCAGCTTAGCTGGTTATCATGGCTATTTCCCAAGGAAGGTACATCATGTATGTTGACCAAACAACATAAAACCAGCACAAGTAAAAGATCTAAACCAATGCAAGTTATGTATCTCCCTGAATTAGAATATTGCCAACTGCATAATGATTCTATTAGGGCTGCAAGTTGGGATTGCCTGATTTGAAGAATTTCAACTACATTGGGCTGGGGTTCAGGCTGAGGCCCATCTGAAATTGAATAAATGCTCAACCCAAGCTGAACCAAACTGCACCTCTAGATTCTACAAAGCAATGAAGTAGAGGGTGCAACATACACTCTTTCAGATCATGGGGTTTACAGATCAAGGTACTAAAGTGAAAGGGCAATTGCAAATGATTTAGATTGTATACAGAGCATGGGTACCTTGAAGAAGTCTGAAGAGGAGGAACACCAGAAGAATTCACCCCACCCCCAATATATCTTACTCTGTCACCTGCCAATTGAAGAAGCACTAGTAACTAAGAAATTGAATGGACATGAACCTACATGATGAATAAATGATAGAGAAAAGAAAGAAATGAAGTAACATGGTGAACAAATGGAAATTGCTAGAAAAATGGTGTACCATGCTTAAATTTGTAGTTCTTAGAAGATGCAGTTGATGCCTCCTGCTTTGGCAGAGCTTGGGAGCAAAACATAGATGTTCCGGCGATATCAGCCTCAACACTAGAAGTTGGTTTCTTAAGATGTATTGCATCTGCCTGAGTTGTTCGTTGCTTGGGCACTGTCGCTGACTTTTCTGATCTTGATTCTTTTACAGATTCTGAGTCCCTTGGAGATAGTCCCTAAAATCAGTCATAAACATTTAAACAAAGTTATAACACTACATGAGTTGTCTCAATATCTTTGCAAGCTGGGGTTTTCTTAACCAAAATGAGAATATACATATTGTTTACACAAACCTTTCAGTACGAGATTCTAAACAATACGTAGAAACAAAATGAGAAAAATCAAATAAAAAACAAAGATAAAATTTAGTGATGCTTACACCAAGTAGCTGGACAACATCAATTATAAGCAATCTAGCCTCAAAATGTTTAGCAAGTGCCTTTATCAAGGTTTCCTGATATATTTCAGAGCCTACAAAAGGAATTAACAGGAAAAGAACCATCAGAGCAGGCAAGAAAATATAATGAAACCTACACATGACTATAAGAGAGGGCTTTGGTTAGAAAGTTTCTTATTTCAGGATGGCATGGGCCATGGGCCAAGGTTCTTCTGAGATAAAGGTGGGCTAAGCAGTTATCTTTTGATGGTCTTTGATGTTCTGATGCATATCCATATTATTTGGGATTGATGGCCGTTGTTGTGCATGAATTATGTATACATGTACATTGCTATATGGGCTGTCAAACTTGTTTCTATTTGGGCCATTAGGGCCCTGCCCCCACATTACTTGTATACCCATTCTTTGCTTTTTTATATACCTTTATTCTGTTCTACTATAAAATAAATACAGACTTGAGAAGCCACGGGCAACAGAGAGGGCGCAAGAAGTACCTGCTGGACCAGATAATAATATTCGTGGGCTCACACTAGAAAGATCTTTGATATACTTGGAATATTCCTTACACTTCAAATGTATGTAAGTGGATGATATTAAAACATTCTTTGTGGTCTCACTGTAGAAAAAGAAAAGTCCATACATTACCATGATTGCTAGAACTATCACAAAATCATGACCAACTGCATCTATTACGAAATCAGGATTAATAATACATTCATGAGTGCATAAACAACTGCATTCACATATGCAGCAAAATACTAAAAAGCCATGATTAACCAAGTCATCAGAAATACTGTGAATACGGAGGCATGACATAAAGGAGTTTTAACTTGCCTGGGGGATAAAGCATAAGCCTCATGAGCATGCCTTTCTTACTAAATAAAGAAAGAAAAATAAATAAAAAGTAGTAATCCTATACATTGTTCTACAATTTTACCAAAAAAAATAACTCATTTTTTCTTATCTTCATAATTGATACTCCTTTCATGAATTTTATATGCTTTMTTGCTTCTTAGTTTACATATTAATACAGGAATATTATACATTAAACTTATATGCACAAGGTTTGTGTCGGTACAAAGAAAACCTATTGTACCAGTAAGAAGTGATATGTTGCACGCTGAGCTTTTAAGGATCTAAAAGTAGCACTCGGAGACAAAAGGTTTTGTTGCAATGTATGCATGGAGCAGTATTATGGGAGCTGTGGTGTGAAAGAAATTGATGAGAACCTGCTTACCACAGGAGTCTTCTTCAAGGTAGAGCATCAATATCCTGAACCAAATTGACAATTTTACCTGGAGAGAGAGTCTCTCAATGGAGAAGGGAACAGGACCATCCAACTGGAACGCAAACCCTGTTGATCAGTTTCAGCTGGAATGGAAGGTAGACAGACTTCGGTAGGATTACCCATTCCACTGTTGTGTGACAACGCTGGATCTACGAGAAATTGATGTAAGGTACCATCAGCAGAGAATGTGGCTGACCCATTAACTAAGCCACTAACACAGAAAGTGTTTGAGAAACACGTGGAATGTATGGGACTCCGGCTGATAACTGATTGGACCTAAGTGCAATTGGGAGCTGTTAGACAGTGTATGCCCTTAGCTCCAATCAGCATGATGTACATTATGACATTTATTATAAATGAATAAAGTACGTATTTGATTCATGTTATTGTGGTTTCTGTGTAATACCCTTAAACTGGACACATTTGAGACTCGTGTTAGTTTAGAATCTTCACAGTCGTTGGATAGATTTGGGGAGATTTATCCTGCCAAGGCTAACACTGATGTACCGCCAAGTTGGTTGGGGTGGTTTGTCTCAGCTGCGAGGATGAGACTTGAAGTACATGCAGTGTGGGTTTTCTTGAAACCCGGACCAAAATTCCAGTATTGCCCTAGACCTTGGAGATAGATGGGCAAAACCGGAATGTTACACCTGACCCTTACACTCGATTATGATATTACACTACGTGTCGGATTGGGTTGTCTTTGATGTGTCAATCAGTGAGATCCTTAGAGGGGGTCAAAACCTGGGTATGTTGGGACAGTCCGAGAATTCATCTGAGTGGGTGATCATAGTGACAGGATCAGCCCCTTTGTCGGACAAAGTGAATGATCGGAAAATGCGCTCTCTCTGATGGAAACCTAAACTACTGGCAGTGGATTTCAAATGTGTTTGAAATTTGGTTTTGCAAAATATATTTATTTAAAGATATACTTATATATATATATATATATATTATGGTTTCACGAAATGTTTGCAAAAGGTTTTAATTCCCAGGATCCATGTGAGTAGAGAGTGCAACACTGTACCTTGCAGCTAAAGGAGAGGTCATCTCTTATCGGACAGTATTTGATCATTAAAGGCTGAGAGGTTAAGTGTAAAACCATTGAGAGTAATACCTGATGGGCTAATCTTGCATCTGCCCACAGTCCTTGGGTTTTCATAAGGTGGTTGGACCCAAGGACCATTTAGCATAAATGTTGGGCCCATTAAGAGCCCATGGTGATGGACTCAGGGGTTCACTGTCTCCTACAGTGAATTCGACCAGGCCTTGTAACAAAGGCTGGGCTGAACCCATGTGGTTGATGTGCAGATCAATGTTTGGGTCCCACGCCATACAAAGAGAGGCAACTGGCCAGTAGGTTAAGGGGTAAGTGAGCACATAAGCTTAATGGGCCTAAAGCCCAATTCGAACTGGACTTAAATTAGTTAATTAAAAGGAGGCAAGATCTGATTTATAGTCTGATTAGGATTAGCTAAAAGGATAAGATAAGCCTTATCCATTTAAGAGTCCAGGTCCAAATATCAGATTTGGATCGAGAAACTCTCTCCTAATTAGATTAGGAGGCTGATCCAAAGAAGACTATAAATAGGGGGCGAATTCCTCAGTTTAATACATAGCAACCTGCAGAATTCTCTCCTATTCTTGCTATCCCTACCCAGTTCGATCTCCTCTTGTGGAATAGATCAAGAAAGGTTCTTGATATTGTTTCTTGGTTGAAACAATCTAAAGTCGTGCTCACCAGCCCCTGTTCAATTTTTTGTTGAAGAATCCTGGTTCTTGCTGAAGAGCCATCCTGTTGATCCTGTTTCTTCACACACTGTATCATCTTCAGTGGAAGCGGGTTTTGGTCTTCTCCTTGGGCATGAACACCTTCATTGGGAGTTACTGCTACTTCGTATCAGGTATATCCCTCTCCTCCCTTTTGGTTTCAGATCTGGTTCGGTTTTGGGTTCAAGATTGATCATTGAAAATGCTGTTTTCTAAAATAGGGAATGCGATTCCCAGATGGGAGAGAGAAATTTTTGAAATTTTGCTCAACCTTCCTATAGGGTTCGACCATCCATATGATGGATCTCTCATCCTTTCAATTTCCGCCTCCTCTCTATCAGTCTTTCCTTTTAAGGTAATCATCTGCAAGCCTCTACTTTGTTCCTTGTTTCCATCTCTCAATACCTCAACATAAGACTTACTGCCAACCTGTGTATAACCAGTACCATGCTGCTTCACTTCCAAAGTTTCCTACTCAATGCTTTCCCCGTGCATTTAAGTTCCAAAGGAGTCAAAAAGAGTCCATCCCTGTTTGTCATGTAGCTATCCTCTTTCTACCTATTTGTCTTCTCTCCTTCGAGCTTCAACCCAGAGACCAACTTCAATGGTAGTCGCTAACCATACTGAGAAGAACATACCACCATCAGCCACTTTAATCTTCCTAAGAATTTCTTCAGGGCAAACACAGTTGAGACTTACAGCTACAGAACGTAGGTCCTTAACAAAAACACCATTTAAGTGTGCCTTGCACAAAACAGCAATTGGTTCAATGACTTAAGCCTTCAATAGATGAAAAGGCAGACCCAAAAGCCAAACTGTGACTGAACTTCTACATTCAATTCCTTTGCATCAGCCGGAGGAGACCACCTAGAAACTGTGACAGCACCACACTCCATCTGAAAGCAGATTGCCTTCAATCTCTAGTTCAACATCTAATGCCTTCAACAGCGCTTTACATCTCTAAAATGGAGTTAAAATAGTTGTGCTTCTAACTTAGGTTTTTTACCAATTCCTCTGCCATCCTTCTCCAGTCCCTCAGTGGCCTACTTGTTTCCACAACTAGCCACTTTTCCCATTCCTCCTTCGAAGCATTGACCACCACCCACCTTTCACAGGAAACTCCACCTACTGCCAGAGCCCCTACTGAATCCCTCTCTGTCCTTCCCCAGTCTCTCTGAATCCAACGGTCCTGGAGCTTGCGAGCCAGTTACCATTATTAGAAAATCTTTCAAGGTGTTTGAAATCTCCTTCCACCCCTCACCCTTCCTACCTTCATGAAAGCACACCAGCTGCTTCTTCCATTAGCCAAAATATTCAACCAGCACCAGGAATCTACCTTTGGCATTTCTTCTCCTTTCTTCCACATACCTCATGTTCCCTTCTTCTATACAATCTTGGCATTCTTCCTTCCAGTTTAGCCTAAGTGCTTTATCCAAAAAATCCTCAAACCAACTCAGCACTTTCTCACCTACTAGAATCACCAAGGCCATCTTCATTTCTCTAATTTTCAGAGTTGTTCTCCCCTGCACCTTAAAGCTCTCAAATAGAAATTGTTTTGCCTCAGATCTGATCACTCTTCTCCATTTTGCTTCGTTCACAAACTATCTTCTGCAGCAACACTCTTCTCCATCTCAGTCTCAACTCGAGAGACTCACTTCTTTCCAATTCTTAATAATATCTCCTGCTGAATGCCTCATTCAATTTGGCAAAAGCAGGGGCTGGCAGGGATCGCCTAGAATGGGGTTGCCCAGGGCCATGTGGTAATCTGTAGGCTGTAATTTGTATCAGTTGTTTTTTCTATGTTTGTTATGTATGTGTGAGTGTGACACCTAAGGTGTGGTTGTCCAGGGCCGTGTGGTAATCTGTTGTTGCATTTTCAGTGTTCACAGCAAGCTTGCAACCAGAGGTGATCGGGCTTGTTCATAGCAAGTTTGCAACCAGACTAAAGTTTTGTACTATTCAAGAAAATCATGTCAGATCTTCCTTCCCCTTTCTCTTGGTAAACATGTTAGAAGTATAGAATGACTAAAGACTAGCACTTGGTAGCAAAAGGGTACGCATAGGCTTATGGAGAGGGCTATTTTGAGAAATTTTCTCTTATTGCCAATGTTGGATCTGTTCAGGATATTCTCTCTCTCATAGCTTTTTTTTTTGAGAAACTCTCATAGCTAATTTTGATTGGTCATTATTTCAACTTGACATAAAAAAGCATAGCAATTTACAAAATAGGTTTACATGAAGCAACCACCTAGGTTAAGGGAAGTTTGATTAAGTGTGCAAACTACATTAAATTGAAACCATCACCAAGAGCTTGATTTGGGCAATTCAACGAAGTTGTGGAGGAGTTTGGGATAAGGGATGCCACTAGGTCAAGTTAAGTGGTAAACCCCAATGACCCAATCCTATCAGTTAGGATCAGGTCAGTCTTAATCAGATTTTAGGTTGAGGTAGACACATGCCAAACCTGACCCATTGACATTATATTGAAACATATGAAATAGCCTTTTTTATAGATAACATATGAAATAGCCTTTATAAAATCAATGCCAAGGTCTTAC